AACGAAAAATTGTATCCATACATACATACACACAAACATCCATTTTTTCTGAGGTATGCCAAAATGTTCGGAAATCTTCAAAACGTCAAGAAATGCAAAAATTTTCAATTTCGATTATTGGATGATTACAATAACTTACCCTACGGGAAGTTAACCCCTTCACTTACGATTTAGATTCGAAAATGTCGGGCCAAAGTTGTTCAAGCTGGCACATCGTTTGTGACTATTTTTCCTCATAGTGTACAGTTTATCACAAAAATAAAAATAATTTTGTATTTTATAGTTTCGTATAAATAAATATTTTGTAATACTCGCGTTTACCATACCGGGCCATGCTCATGATGCGTACTATTTGCTTCTGGCCCATATATCGTACGCGGGCAATGCCCGTAATATTCACTTTTGGCCTAGAAATCACACGCGGGCTCTGCTCGTCATTTTAAGTTAAGGGGTTAATTATTGAAGTTACAGTAGGTGTAGCTAATTTTATTTGTAAAATTACAACTGCATAAATATAATTCAATTAATACTATAAGTATTAACATTTATATCTGTTTTTTAGTATATATAAAATTTCTGTCAAGCTCCTAAAACACACTTGATTAAACCTAATCGAGTGCCAATTAACATACTTGTTAATACCTATCTCCAACATAACCAGGTCCAATTAAAAAACAATTATTATTAGATTAAATATCAAATGAACGCTTTGTTGAAACTTTTGCAGTCTCATTCGTTTATCAGTGCTCCAAGAGTTTACATTGCGTCAAGTGCGTAAATAGTTTTTCTTATGTGAAAAGTGAATCACCAAGTATAGTTAAAAACTGCAAGTTATTTTTTTTCTTTTATACATAAATTTAAATCATTTCTAGACAGATTATGTATTAATTTCAAAAAAACAGAGTGTGCTTATTTTATAAAATAAATAGGTAAGGTAAATGTACGCTATTCCGAGATAGTACATTATTACTGATGTAATTTTGTACATTATTACTGTGAGTAATTTTGATCGCAAAATAAGAAAACGGTCAATAAATAATAATTTTCTTCAATAGCACATCAATTATAATTTGAATCCTAACAAAATAGCACGATTTTCGAATTTAAATATTAGTTTTTAAAGCCATAAAAAGCTTTTGAAAGCATCGGTCGTGACCAGATCGCCATTTCGTACTGGCTTGTTAGCGAGTTGGTTATGTGACGGTTCCATTGCTTAAGGGGGTTGTTTGGTTTTTATTTTTTTTTCTCGATTTTGAGATTTTTTGATATTATGAAAGCTAAAAACCTCAGAATTATTTAAAAAAAATCATCTCAATATCTATTTTTTTGACGAAGATGATCCTCTGAAACCGTTTTTTTCATCGCTCCGCGAGCTATTGTATGCCAGCTGCTCTCTTTTTCATTATAATACCTCATACACACGACCTTTTTATGTGTCAGCATCTTTGAACAACTTGGTATATTTAGTACATTAAATTAAATGGTGTATTAAGTACATTAAATTTAAAATTTTAAATACGTTTTTCTCAAATTTGATTCCAAGACTTTGATTCCAATGCGGTGCCACAAATTAAAAAAAAACTACAAGTCGGATCGACTTGCATTTTTTTTTAATTTGTTCACCACTGTAATACCTAGTCCCCCTACCTCAAACAACTTGATATTATTACGCAAAAAATTTTTGCGAAGCTTCTCGCCCCAATAAAAAGGCATTTTTTAAACTTTTTTTAAATAGCTGCCATTTTTTCCCTTTTTGCTTTTTTTCTTTCATTTTGGTAGGGGGACTGGATTCAGACTTCTTCTTCAACGTAGTTGAAAAGAAAAAAAAAGAAAATTTTGTAATATTCTACGATTTCGTAATTTTTGTTTAAAAAAACGCATGTCTCTATGATAAATACATTTCGAGGAAAACAAAAACAAATACCTTGCATTTTTTGTAAAAAAAAAAACGAACAACCCCTTAAGGTTTTTATTCAATTCCGATAAGCTTAATCGATTCAAATTTGTGAAATTTTTGATCAGTAATAATAAGAGATTAGTTTTATAGTTAAATCGAGCATAAATTTGTCAATAAATTGTCAGTTTTACTAATTACTGTAATTAGGTTCACACAACTGAACCCGTGAACGTAATTCCGTGAGTTATTTCGCAATTACGAGAAGTAGACTTGAAATAGTTTTAGCTTTCATTTTCAACTGTGCTTAAATTCGGCGGTGTTTCTAGTGTTAATAAGTTTGTTAATACTGTAACTTTATTACGGTGTATGTTTTTTTTTTAATTTTTAACCCTAATAATTGGGTTTGAAATGACTACTTTTTTGTAAGAAAGTACATGATTTTTTCACATATTTGCATTATTCCGATATACCTGGAGTACCGTAGTAATGGGAGAATAATTTTTGTCTACCTTTCATCGATGAGCAATTATTTCTGTTATATAAATTGAATAAAAATACAAATAATTCCTGTATAGCGCACGGTACTTATAGGGCATGGATTCACTAGGCCGCTGGTATGCAAGTATGTATGCAGAGATCTAGAAACATTCCTATAAACACGGTAGTTTTGGATCCAATTAAGGCAGTAATCTTTTGGTATATTATAAGTTATTAAATCAATATGAATTGCAATTACTCGAAAATACGTTGCCGATGCTACTCTTGAATGCTTTTTAATAGTATATCACAGTTTATTAAATACTATTAAAATTATATTCAATATCAGTTTTTTAAAGCTTCTAAATCATACAAAATTTCCAATCAAACCTAATTTAAGCTAGTTGGCATTGTTAATTTAAAAGACTTTAAAGGTTATTTACGTTTCTTTGTAGAATTGAACCTTTTGTTTCAAAAATACACTTTTAACTTATATAATAGTTTAAATTTTATATTTATTTAAAATTTTATATTTTTATTTAATCGCCGCTAAATATTATTCCTTCATTGTTTTATATTTTTATTTGATTTATTTATTTACCAAAACTCTTCTCAGTATTGATAATGATTATTATACTGTTACCCTAATAATACCAGCTTTTACTTTATTTTTGTTATGGAAGTTTTCCAACTTATATTTTTATGATTTTAAAAAAACTAAATTAAACTAGTTGGTATTGGTATTTTGAGGCAAGTTACAAGAACTTACCGATTTGTGTAAATAATCGACCTAACTCATGATAGATAAATTAATTTATGAGTAGTTAAAAGTATTCGAAAAGGATTTATTACACATTATTAAAAATCGAACACGTCAACCCGGTCGGAGTATTTTTTAAAAGCAAATTTTCAAAAATCAATAATTTTAATAATTGTACCAGTTTTTTGTAGGACTTTTTTTGTGTAGTATGTTCATTAAGACCAAGCATTTATCGTTATACCAGGTAAATCATCTACTTTTAAATTGAACAAATGTCAAAAGAACTACTCATTTTCTCAAACGTTGATGAATTTTCAAAATTAAACTGCTTGTCGTAAGGCCGTAATATTTCAGTAAGTTCTATAAGACCATGATATATATCGTCCAAAAAAGTTCCATGAAAATCTGCTTAAATTTTTTTTTCAACAGTTAATTACAAGAAAATAGCTCGGTAGATTTTCACCTAAAACTAATCAGTATCATTCCCAACTAATATCTTTCGAACATTTTTTGATTTTTTAAAATCGGTTCGGTAGTATGAGCTTAAATGTGGACGAAAGGTTTAACACATTTTTCCAAATTACAAAGAAACGGCTCGGCCGATCGTAGCACAAAACTGAGAAACGATAATTCTCACCGAGATACATCAAATGATTTTTAAATTTGTGAAATCGGTTCAGGCGTTTTTGAGCAAACGTCGATAAAAGTTCTAATTTTGACAAATGCCAAAAAGACCATACTAATTTTTGTAAACTTTGACGAATTTTTAAAGCTAAACGAGTTGTCGTAGGGCCGTAATATTTTAGTATGATCGAGAAAACTATGGTATCTACCGTCAAAAAAAAATAATAAAAATCGACGAAAAAAATTTTTTTAACACTTTAATACAAGAAAACGGCGCGGCCGATCTCTACCAACAACTAATCAGGTCGATTCCCAACCAATATTTTTCGAACGGTTTTTGAATTTTCAAAATCGATTCAGAATTGCGGGCTAAAACGTGGACAAAAAACTTTTCACTTTTCTGCTATTTACGAAGAAACGGCTTGGCCAATCTGACAAACAATAGTCCTCATCGAGATTCATCGAATGGCTTTTAAATTTTTGAAATCGGCCCAGCCGTTTTTGAGAAAACGTCGTTTTACGGCAAAAAATCTGTTCACATACACGCACACACATACACACACACACATACTTTTTCCAAATTTGGTCTCATTCGATTCAGAATGGCTTGAAACGTCGAGAAAACATAAAATTAGCGAATCGGATTTTTTGATGAAGACATAAACTTCCCCTTCGGGAAATTAATAAATATTTAAAATTATATCAAAGTATTGCTTTTTAATTAACCTTATTTTTTATAACCAATTTAAGTATATTCGTCAAGGTAATACGATCAAAAATGTATGCTTCGTGCGCTATCACGGAATAACGTACAACGACTCCCGGCATTGTGTTCATAAGTCGAATTTTATCACGGAATTAGGGATATAAACGCGTGGTTCAGCAGAATGCCGATTATTTCTATAAATGAAATTCTGCATGCAAAATTTTGGTCTATAATGATGTTATAAGTCTAATTTATAGAATAGAACAGTTTCAGCTCGTTCCCTTTCCTACTTTTTTTACCAATCATCTTTAAAGTAAAACGTTCTTCAATATCCCGTAATATGGTACATTTACCTTAGATATCGTGTTCACGTTTGTGATTTGTTTCCAGTTATTGTGTTTATAGTTTAGAGACTTTTTGAATAATACTTACAATAAATGTTGAAATTAGTTGTTGGTAAAAATCAAAACATGAAGTGCTAGATATCATTCTATAGTTTAATTAATTGTGTTCGGTGTGTTCCATTAATAATAAAAATGAATAAAAGTGAATACCTTCAAGCAAGGGCTGTTGCCAAAAGTTATCAAAGCTCTTCAAATCCTTCAACTTCTAGGGGCAAAACCGCTAAAAAACCTAAGCCATGTGGTAATGCACTTCACGGGAACATGTACCAAATAAAATTACTCATGCTCTTCCTATGTCGAGGCACTTTTTTAAATTATGATTTTAGATTGGGTACAGAAGTAGAAGAAGCGGACAAATTTGATGATCTTTTGTTTGAATATAAAAAGGGTGGTCAAAAGTATTACAGACTTCTGCAAGCCAAACACCTGAATAAAGAAGGTACGAAGAAAATCACCTCACGTGATTTGATGGCGAATAAAACAAATGACTTTAGTCTAATAAAATATTGCAAATCTTATCTCGAGTTAAAGAAAGAAAAAATGTTTCAAGATGGAGTGATCAAAGATGTCATCATCTGTACTAATGTTTATTTTGATGTTAACAATTTGAACCAAAACAATATAGAAATCGATGAAATAATAGGAGAGGATGAACTATTGAAAATGGAGAGTAATAAGTTACCCAAACGATATAGATTTCGCAAAGATAGCATTGTTTCTTCATTAAAAAGTAAACTAGATTATGAAAAAGCACCTTATACTAACGAAGAAATAGAAGAATTTCTAGATCATTTAATTTTTGCAGTAAATCAGCCAAATGAAAAAGAAATGCAGGATATTATAAAAAAAGAAATTGGCGAGGAAGAAGAATTTGACATGGAAACGACTGAAACGGTGTATTACAAACTTCAAAATTTAATAACGGATTTAGTGAAGGATAGAGAAAGCAATAAATTTATTTCATGTGAAGATTGCAAATTTGTTTTTGATGAAGCCAGAAAGGGTATTTCGATCCTGTTCGGTGTGCGAAATCCTATTAACTCTTTTACTGGAAGAACGGAAATGTTGGTTACTTTGCACGAATCACTTAGGAAAAATAAGACAGTTTGCATAAGTGGTCTTGGAGGAGTCGGAAAAACAGAATTGACCAGAAAATATATCAAAGATCACAGCGAAACATTTGATAATAAAATTGTATGGATAAATGCTGAGACAAAAGAGTCTCTTCAAGATTCTTTTAAGAGATTGGCAACTGATAAACTCCGAATTAAAATCAAAACAAATGATAACAGCCCTAAGGAGATTCGGACTATAGTAGAGGATGTATACAACTTTTTCTCGCGCTATAGATGCCTATTTGTTTTTGATAATGCCGAAATATACAAAGGAGACAACAATGGTATTGAGCAATTTCTTCCTTCAATTCCTGAAAATTTAAATACGCCTCATATTTTAATAACTTCGCGCAACAAGAAATGGCCAACAAAAATTGAAAGATTAGACTTGGATGTATTCACAGAAAAAGAAGCATCAGATTTTATTCAAACGTCACTGGAGTTAGATAATAATTCAGAAATACAGAATGCCAAAAAGTTATCACAAATGTTGCAATATTTGCCTTTGGCACTTCAACAAGCAGTTGCGTACATAAAAATGCACGATTATCTGAAGAATATCAAAGAACAATTTACTGTTTTTGATTATTTGGAAATATTTGAAGAGAAGACAAATGAACTGCTTGACTTTGAATTTCCTGCAGATAACGAGAATACTTACTCTAAAACAGTTCTGGTGACTTGGAATGCTTCAATTTATGCAATAAAAATGAAAGACAATGGAAACAAGGCAATAGAAGTTTTAGATCTTTTATCTTACATGGGACCCGACAATGTTCCGATGCTTTTATTTTTGCCATTATTCAATGATAAAAATGAATTAGGCAGCGCCATTGAATTGTTGAAACAGTTTTCGATGATAAATTCACATGAAGGAAAAGTCAATGTCCACAGATTGGTGCAGCAAGTGATTAGATCGAACTTACAAAAGGATGAAAAAGAAGAAGAGGTTTTAAAACAATGTTTGAATTTATTCGTATCAAAGATCCTGAATTTTAAAAATATTGACCATGCATTTCTAGTTTGGAATTATTCTAAAAAGTATAAGCAACTGGTCCAACAACATTTTCAACTTGCAATTTTAATAGGAAAAGAATTCAACAACTCCGGAAGATATCGAGATGCCTTTACAACATTGTGGTGTATTAGGCGCATGGAAAATATAACTCATAGTGATGTAGAATTGATTGATATTGAAGGTGGCATGATGGAAGCACTACTAATGTTATTAGAGTATGATAAAGTCAAAAATATTTTTCAAGATTATTTAAATTTGCGTGAAGCTAATTTGGGATCAAATCATCTTCTTACGTTGCATACTAAAAAGTGTTTGGGTAAAATTTATAATCGTTCAGGTGATGGTAGTGAAGGATTAAAATACTATCTTCAAGTACTTGATTCCCATAGAAAAAAATTGAGAGATCGAGAAAGAAGTTTGGGAAAGCATCATTATGATACTCTACGTACTAGAAAGGACATAGCTGACATTTTAATAGAATGTGAAAAATATGACGAAGCTCTTCAAGAATTTGATATTTTGATTAAAAATCAAGAAGATGCTCTTGGCAAAAACCATATCGATACCATGCGTACTATAGGTTGGAAGGGGGTTGCATTGTACAAAAAAGGCGATCATGATGCGGCTCTTAATGTACTTCTAAATTTACTTCTAAAGCAGATGGAAGTATTGGGTAAAGTAGATGGCGATACTATAGACACCAGGCAACATATTGCTTATGTTTTGGGAAAGAAAGAAAACTTAGTCGAAGCACTGGAATGTCGCAGAGGATTGCTTACAGATCTAGAAAGGAAATTAGGGAAACATCATCCTGATACTCTGCGCACTAGAGATAATATAGCATACATTTTGATAAATTTAGAAAAATATGACAAAGCCCTACAAGAATTAGATGTTTTGATCCCACTTCTAGGAACAGTTCTTGGTGAAAAGCATGGTGACACTATGCGTTCTACAGTTTTAAGAGGTGTAGCATTGTACAAAAAGGGCGATTATGATGCGGCTCTTGGTGTACTTCTAAATTTACTTCTAAAGCAGATGGAAGTGTTGGGTAAAGTAGATGGCGATACTATAGACACCAGGCGACATATTGCTTATGTTTTGGGTAAGAAAGAAAAGTTAGTCGAAGCACTGGAATGTCGCAGAGGATTGCTTACAGATCTAGGAAGGAAATTAGGGAAACATCATCCTGATACTCTGCGCACTAGAAATAATATAGCATACATTTTGATAAATTTAGAGAAATATGACGAAGCCCTACAAGAATTAGATGTTTTGATCCCACTTCAAGAAACTGTTCTTGGTGAAAAGCATGGTGGCACTATGCATTCTACAGTTTTAAGAGGTGTAGCATTGTACAAAAAGGGCGATTATGATGCGGCTCTTGGTGTACTTTTAAAGCAGAAGGAAGTGTTGGGTAAAGTAGATGGCGATACTACAGACATCAGGCTCCATATTGCTAATGTTTTGGGAAAGAAAGAAAAGTTAGTCGAAGCACTGGAATGTCACAGAGGATTGCTTACTGTTTTAGAAAGGAAGTTGGTTTAGAAAAATATGATGAAGCCCTACAAGAACTTGATGTTTTGATCCCACTTCAAGAAACAGTTCTTGGTGAAAAGCATGTTGACACTATGCGTTCTACAGTTTTAAGAGGTGAAGCATTGTACAAAAAAGGGGATTATGATGCGGCTCTTGATATACTTCAAAATTTACTTCCAAAGCAGGTGGAAGTGTTGGGTGAAGTACATGATGATACTATATCCACCAGGCGCCATATTGCTTATGTTTTGGAAAAGAAAGAAAAGTTAGTCGAAGCACTGGAATGTCACAGAGGATTGCTTACAGATCTAGAAAGGAAGTTTGAGAAACATCATCCTGATACTTTGCGCACTAGAGATAATATAGCATACGAGTATATTTTAATAAATTTAGAAAAATATGACGAAGCCCTACAAGAATTTGATGTTTTGATCCCACTTCAAGGAACAGTTCTTGGTGAAAAGCATGGTGACACTGTGCATTCTACAGTTTTAAGAGGTGTAGCTTTGTACAAAAAGGGCAATTATGATGCGGCACTTGATTTACTTCTAAAGCAGATTGAAGTGTTGGGTGAAGTAGATGGCGATACTATAGACACCAGGCTCCATATTGCTTATGTTTTGGGGAAGAAAGGAAAGTTAGTCGAAGCACTGGAATGTCACAGAGGATTGCTTACAGATCTAGAAAGGAAATTGGGGAAACGTCATCCTGATACTCTGCGCACTAGAAATAATATAGCATACACTTTAAAATATTTGGAAAAATATGATGAAGCCCTACAAGAATTTGATGTTTTGATCCCACTTCAAGAAACAGTTCTTGGTGAAAAGCATGGTGACACTATGCGTTCTACAGTTTTAAGAGGTGTAGCATTGTACGAAAAAGGCGATTATGATGCAGCTCTTGATGTACTTCAAAATTTACTTCCAAAGCAGGTGGAAGTGTTGGGTGAAGTACATGATGATACTATATCCACCAGGCGCCATATTGCTTGTGTTTTGAGAAAGAAAGGAAAATTAGTCGAAGCACTGGAATGTTACAGAGGATTGCTTACAGATCTAGAAAGGAAATTGGGGAAACATCATCCTGATACTCTGCGCATTAGAAATAATATAGCATACATTTTAATAGGTTTAGAAAAATATGATGAAGCCCTACAAGAATTTGATGTTTTGATCCCACTTCAAGGAACAGTTCTTGGTGAAAAGCATGGTGACACTATGCATTCTACAGTTTTAAGAGGTGTAGCATTGTACAAAAAGGGCAATTATGATGCGGCTCTTAATGTACTTCAAAATTTACTTTCAAAGCAGATAGAAGTGTTGGGTGAAGTAGATGGCCTTACTATAGACACCAGAAACCATATTGCTTATTCTTTGGAAATGAAAAAAAAGTTAACCTAAGCACTCGATTGCCACAGAGAATTGATTGCAAATCTAGAACTAAAATTGGAGAAATATCATTCTGATAGTCTGCTTGCTGCAAATGATATAACAGACATTTTAGTAGATTTCCAAAAATATAATGTGATGATTTAGTTGGTTCGTGTAGACATTATTTTACTGGGTAGTTTGGAAAGTAATTTTGTTTTTATAAGCATTTTGACAAATCATTTTCGTATAATAAACATATTTTTTATTAAATTATGTTTTGGCCATTTCGGTCGAACTTTTTTTTATCATATTTGGAATCATATATGATTCCAAAGTATACTTTATAGTCTTTATTGTTAAAAAAGTGATCAATGTGGGTTCAATTGAAGGTTCTACTGTCTGAAAAATTGTGACCGTATTTATAGAGTTTGAGTGTGATGTTGGATTCAAATATGTAAAATTAAATTCCCTGCCATAAAAAAACGAAATTACTTTCTGAACAGTCTTATAGATTGCGTTATTTCAAATTTTATTGGAAATATTATGGTAAATATGTACTAAAGTAAATGCCAGAAATGTTGTTTGATATAAAAATAAATTTGAATTAAATTATAATAAAAACATGAGAAAGACAAAGAATAATTTAATGAAAGGATTCTATTAAAAACCAAAAAGATGTAAACATCTAAAATGTTGCAAATATCATGGATGAAATTACAACCTGTGAAAAGAGGCTGGTGCAATATATTATCATAAAATTAAGCATTATAACAATTATCATTATTCAACGTGTAAGCACATTTTTTAATTATATATGAATATATAAAGTTTTAAGATTTACCATTATTATACAATCCTAGTTTGTAATATTTTCATAACTTTGTTAGTTTGTTTTTTATGTAACGCAAAGGGCGAGAAACATTGTTCTTAAGGTGCGTCCACACCTAGCGAACGAGCAAGAACGAACGTGGCGTTTGATATACGCGTTGTTCGCTTTTGTTTGAAATTTTTAATCTGCGCATACAATTCATCATGTTCGTTCGTTAGGTGCGGGCGCACCTTTAGCATCCCTGATATGTATGACTCTCCATTTCTGGTTCTGTCTATAATCTAAATATAGCAATAATTTAGTTGTAAATTTCCTGAAATATATGTAAAGCATAATTAAGGGTTTTTACTAAAAAATAATACAACTATCTTCTACTCAAAATTTACACAAAATGTGTACATATTAAAATCTCTATAAAATATCTGATTTGACTGAAAAATTTGAATTTTTTGAAACTTTGAATTGTTTTTACAAACTTCGCGCTCCATACCTCTGAAACGGCAAAATTGCCTTTTGCATAAACGCTTCGCGATCATGTTGCCGAATGATTTTTCAATCATGCAAATCGGTTATTCCATACTGTCGAAAATGTCGAGAACATTTGTTTGAACCGTATAAATAAACTTCAAAATTAAAAATCTTAGTACGTAACCCAAAAAAATTACACCAAATGTGTACACATTATTAAAATCTCTATAAAATATTCGATTATTTGATGTGCATACATTTTTGACCGCCAAATGGCGAAAATGAAATTTTTTTTACGTTTCAGAGGTTTCTGAATATTTTGGCATACCTTAGAAAAAGTGGATGTATGTGTGTGTGTGTGTGTGTTCGGATACAAATTTTCGTCGACGATTTCGGGAACACGGATAAAGCGATTTGAATAATTAAAAAAACATTCGATTCGTATTGATAAGAAGACGGGCTGAGTAGTTTTTGGCGAAGGCAGGTCTAGTCGTTCCGAAGGTATGGGGCAAAAAGTGCCAAAAACGGTAACTCAGTTACTCAAGAGAACGCAGATTAACAAGATGAAGAACCGATCAAATTTTCATAAAGGCAGGTCTAGCGGTTTCGGAGATCCAATAAAAAAAAGGAAAAAAAATGCCATCTGGCGGTCAAAAATGATCATTAGACATATGCACACCAAATTATCAGATATTTTATAGAGATTTTAACAATCAGAATAAATTTTGCTTACATTCCTATGAGTTCCGTACCAATGCCTATCCGTTAGACGCCGGCGGGGTGCTTACGCGCTTCGATATTTCGTCTCTATGCAGTTAAAGCAGTACGATTGCTTTGAAACAAAGTTTAGAATTTCCAAAATATATCAAAATACACTTTTCTTCAAAAAGTCTTTTTTTCAAGAAAAAGTAAATTTTTGTCAAAAAATTATAGTTTCTCAAAAAGCTAATTTTTCAGAGTAATTTTTTTTTCAAAAATGTTTATCTTTAAAAAAAAATTTTTTTTTGGTTATGGAAGTTCCAGCTATTTGCGTTAAGGCACGATGCCATGCGCCTCACTAGTTTCAATATAAATTAAATGTTTTCTGAATTTTTCAAATCGGACGCTTCGTTCTCTTAAAAACTGAGTTACCGTTTTTGGCACTTTTTGTCGGAACGGCTAGACCTGTCTTCGCCAAAAACTAATCAGCACGTTTCCTTATCAAACGAATCGAATGTTTTTGAATTATTCAAATCGGTTGATCGATGTTCCCGACAAAAAGTTGTATCCGCACGCACACACACATACATACATCAATTTTTTCTAAGGTAAAATGTTCAAAAACCTTTGAAACGTAAATATAAATTTACTATAATCTTAAGATATATAAAAATTTTCATTTTCGATTTTTTTTAGTATCGCAATTTGTTGGTACTTCCCGCACCGTAATGAAATGTTCGAGGAATAGTAAATGTTATCAAATAGATTATTATAAATACTGTAACATTATTTGTAATTTTCGACAAGAGATAAGAGGCTTATAAATTGGACGACGACGTTTATATATGTTTACATGAAAAGTAAACAAACAAAACTTAAGGAATAAAAGTCTTCATCTTATATTCCTAAGACATACTTTAATTATAATTTTTTTTTGAATTATTGTTTACTATTATTATTATTTTATTATTAATATTGTTATTATTATTATTTATACTTTATGCTATTATTAATTATCTGTTTATTACCATTATCATCAAATTTAGTACATATTTTCATAAATTAGAATACGTACTAATGGGTAGTTCTCTAAAAACATTATACTTAGGTTAAGTCTCAGATTAATTACTAAATGTCTTTTTCATAAGACAGATTGTAATTTGATGTGCATATGTCTAATAATCATTTTTGGCCGCCAAATGGCATTTTATTATACTTTTTTTAATGGCTCTCCGAAACCGCTAGACCCGCCTTCATGAAAATTTGATCAGATCTTCATCTTGTTAATACAAGTAAAATGTTTTTTTGAATTATTCAAATCGGACGCTCCGTTCTCTTAAAAGCTGAGTAAAACTTGAGTTAATTGGCATCTTCGGAACTGCTGGACCTGCCTTCTCGTTTCATCCGTGTTCCCGAAATCGTCCACGAAAATTTGTATCCGAACACATACACATACACACACACACATACATCCATTTTTTCTAATCAATCTAATCGGATCCCCGTAATCGCAAAAAACGTATTCCCATTTTTTTTGCACATTTTGTACCATATCTCCGAAACGGTCTCCCTATCAATATAAAATCTAATGTTTGGTATTACCAACTTGGTCTCAAACCATTCAGAATGACTTGAAACATGAATTTTTTTGCGGAAACATAAACTTCTAACCAGGATATTAATAATAACATTTTGGTATTCTTAATGATATATTTAACTTAACTTTAAATACACCATAATTTTCCCGATTTCGATGTGGACGGTTCAGATTGGTTCGATTTGAAACATGATTTTTAATTATCTAAATCATAAAATTTTAACCTTTTTAAAATTCAAATATTTTAAAAGATTCAAATTATTTAAATTATTCTCTTCTGCCAGATGTAGCAGTATAAAGTTACCGAGCCTTATATTTTTTAAAAAATTTGTTATGCATATTTACTAACATAAGGTCACACCATTTTTTTTTGTACAAGGTAGTTATTGTAATGGGCCGAAAATCGAAATTGAAAATTTTTACATTTCTTCACGTTTTGAAGGTTTCTGTACATTTTGGCATACCTCATTGTCAGAAAAAATGGATGTGTGTATATACACACATCCATTTTTTCTGACATACATACATATGTACGTATGGATACAATTTTTCGTCCACGTTTTTGGGCGCACGGATCAACCGGTTTGAATGCTTCAAGAAAACATTCGATTCCTATTGATAGGGAGATGTGCTGATTGGTTTTTGGCAAAGGCAGGTGTAGCGGTTTTGGAGATACGGAGCAAACAGAGCAGAAAATTGAAATCGAGGTTTTGAGAGATCGGAGCATCCGATTTGAATGATCCAAAAAATATTCAATTTGTAATAACGCGGAGAAGTCGTGTTTAGTTTTTGGCAAAGGCAGGTCCAGCGGCTTGGGAGATACAGAGCAAAATGTGCAAAAAATTGCAGTTTTTGAGAAAACTAAGCGTCCGATTTTGAATGATTCAAAAAACTTTCTCCTTGTTTTAACAAAATAATTCTTTTGGGAAAAAAAAATATTTCAAAAAATATTTTTTTGTGTATATCGAAAATAATTCAGATATTAATTGTAATTCTGACTATATACTTCAATGTACGTTCTAATATACTTTAAACAAATATTTTCAACTTTGCAATTCAGTTTATATAATTCTTATAAATATTAGACAATGTTACAAAATTTATAATAATCTATTTGAAAACATTTAATATTCCTATAATAAAAGAGCGTGTAGGTGTCTTTTATGTTACAAAATAATTAAGAATTATTGAATCTTAGAATATATAGAATCTTGTAGAAAGTAGTTATGAACATGATAGTATAAATTCCACGTGTATAAAAATATATAAAATTTATTCATTTTTGGCAATTTCAATAATTCCCGAAAGTGGTGACCCACGACGTTTGAGATTAAGACAGAGAAGGAGCATTTTTTGAGGTTTAAAAAAATATAGATTTTGATGCAGCACCATAATAACTGGTCTTTCGTGACTACTTATAAGGTACGTCCAATCCTCGGTTCATCGTAGTTAACGCATTTACTACCTGACACCGGACTGCTGTTGGTACACCCATTTTGTATACAAAGACCTCAGTGTTTATTGCTGACACAAAAATTTATTCTGAGCCTAGACCTTAGGTCATGAATTGAATGCACTATCAAATGGTCATTGGAATCGCAATTCAACCTCTCCTTGTCCGTTAACTCACCAAATCGTCTTTTGATGCATAAGACTTAAGATTGCATCTTGTCAAATTGATGACTCTTTAATACGCTCTCTTTCGAATCACGTCTGATTCGAGAATCCGATGTAGGATCCAAAGGGCTACAGAAGTCAAAAAGATCGTGGCGCAATCTTCGAAGTTTACCAAGACATCGAGGTTCAGGAAATTTACTACGTGATTTATATTCAGAACCCTATGCAGAGTATGAAGATGATGCAAGGTCGAATTACCTGACATACGGTGGATCTGCCGACGAAACTGTCATTTTTTCCATTGGAAGAACTACTAATTGACCAATACCACTATACACTACTATAATCTGCTTTCCCACCATATTTTTATAACGTGTTTCCCCGTATTTTTTTTAAAACTGTGAGGTCAACACTGGGCAGGGAGTGTGTGGGAAAATCAAACAGGCTAGACTTAGAGGAAAAACAATTGGACTTGTCATTTTATTTTTCAATAAATTTTGTAATTAATAAATTGTTTATATCATTGAATTAAAAGTTTAAAAATATATCAATCGGCAATTTTAATAATTCCAGAAAATCTATTTCGGATATTTAGTAATTTTATTAAATAATATCATTATTATAAAAATAACAATGATAACTCTGCGTTTTTCCGAATATTCACAATTATATAAAAGGACAAGCTCTAGTAAGAATTATTTCATGCGATTTAATATAGATTTTGTTGTGTATGTTGTCTTACGTTTATGAGGGCGTTCTTCAGTACTATTTCATAACTGATCTCTTCACCATCTTGCTCATCAATCGGTTCCTGTTTTATTTGTTCCTGTATCATTATCTCAGGTTTTAAAAATTGCTGTACATATATTTCTTGGTTTTCTGGACATATTTCTGAAATATCATAATCATCTAATTCTTGTTTCACTTGAGGACAATAATCAAATTCTCGTTCAATTTGAGGATATTCGATTGGTTCAATTTGACTTGTTGTTTTTGAATATGTTTTTCCATACATTTTCGATACCTGTTGGTTGGGATCCTAAAATGTAATTATAAATATAATTTATGAATAAAAATTAATTAATATAAATTATCTATGCTTTAAATTAAAAAGTCAAACGAGAACCAAATTTCTTTTCCAAATGTTAAATGTTAAATTTGTCATAATATTTAAAATGATTAATAATTCCAATTAAAAGCATTATTATGTTCAACCCAAGTAGTACTTTCAATATTAACAGGTGGTGCATGGCATCCGTAAGGCAAATTGCTGGAACTTCCCGTACCATAATTTAAAACTGTAAAATTTTCTGAAAACTTTAACCAAATTAAATTTGAGATTTTTGAAATTTTGGAAGAAATGAACTTTTTGAAAAATATTATTAACTTTCCGTAGGATAAGTTATAGTAATCGCAAAATATCGAAAATGAAAATTTCTATATGTCTTTACGTTTCAAAGGCTTCTGAATATTTTGGCATACTTTAGAAAAAATGGATGTATGTGTGTGTGAGTGTGTGCGGATACAAATTTTTGTCGACGATTTCGCGAACACGGATTAACCGATTTGAATAATTCAAAAAACATTCGATTCCCACTGATAGACACGCGCTTATTAGTTTTTGCAAAAGGCAGATCTAGCCGTTTCGGAGATACGGGGCATAAGTGCCAAAAATGGTATTACAGTTTTTGAGATAACGGAGTGTCCGATTTGAATAATTCAAAAAACATTTTACTTGTATTGACGAAATAAACAGCTGGTGAAATTTTTGTAAAGGCAGGTCCAGCGTCTCCGGAGACCCAATAAGAAAGTTAAAAATAATGCCATTTGGCGGTCTAAACTGAACATTAGACATATGTACATCGTATTATCAGATATTTTATAAAAATTAAAATATAAGGCACAAATTTTGTGTACATTTATATGAGTTCCGTACCAATGTTTACACGTTAGACGACTACGCGCTTTGATATTTCGACTCCAAATCAGCTATGCAGTGCGGTTGCTTAAAAAACTTGTCAAAATGAATCAAAATACAAAAAAATCAAAATATAAATAAAATCCAATTTTTCAAAAAAATAATTTTTTTTCGAAAACTTCAAATTTTCTCAAAAATCTATTTTTTTTTTTCAAAGTTTTGCAAAGTTTTTTTTTAATAATTTAGATTTCGGTACGGGAAGTTCCAGCTATTTGCCTCAAGGCACAATGCCATGTACCACTAGTTTTTTTAATATTTAGGAATCTTTTGAAAATTTTGAATTTTTTTCTCAAAGCAGTCGCGATATGTAGCTGTTTTAGAGACGCAAAGCGCGTAAGCGTCTCGTCGCAGGTTAACGGATAAATATCATAAATCTTGATACGAAACCCATAGAAATGAAAACAAAATTCGAAATATTTGGATATCACCACACAGGTGGTGATATTTAAAATTACCCCCATCTCGCCTAACAAACATCACGCGTATTTTTAGTTAGGAGAAAAATTGTAATTTTTTTGTATTTTTGTATCTGTTTGACAATGCTTGCATTTTTTAAAAAAAAATCGGGTAAAAAATAAATACACGTGATATTTTACTATACTCCTCCCTCTCCCACGTGATATTTCGTGATTTTCTAACCAACCCCCCTACCCCTAAAAACCTCACGATTAATATGAACGCCCTCTAATTTTAGGCAGTACATTGTGCAATGTTCTCTTTTATTTATAAGATTTATTTTTTTAAGATCATTTTACTATCATTACCATTTCATTATTCTTATACACTTTCATGCATTTTCCTTTTCGACGCTTCTGTTTCCTTGCTTTCTGGTCCCGTGCTTTCAGTTTCCTGTAAAAAATACATATAAATTATATTAGTTGTACTTTCGGTTTGCGTCTTGGCTACCATAACTCTTTTGAGTTCATTCTGTTATTCGCGAAGCTATTTTTGCTTTTGTACAAATAATTCAAAGATCTTAACAATATTAAGGACCATGTTACAACAAGGCCATGTTACGTTCCAACTTCAATACATTATGCTACTAAATCATACTGAATACTGTCAAAGTGTCATATATTTGCTGTGCATTCGGGCGTTTTACACATAAACTGCAACGTCACTCGTATGAAGCTGGGTCAGAAAGACCCTGTTATCTAAGATCGTTTTTTGACATTTGTGCGGTTTGTAGATTATGTTTTCTATCTGACAATCTGAGAAATACGCCTGACTGCATACCACTCACATGGCTTTTCAATATTTAGTATGGAAAGTTCTTCATAACATGGCCTTGCTATAACATTTTTCTGTTATGCGGCAGAATCGGTCCCTAAAATAATCATAAAATTCGAAGTAACAATAGAGAGAAAAGTCAAACATTAATTTTAAGCAATTCATTGTGCAAAATTCTTTTTATTTTTTAGAACTAATAAAATATTCGAATATCTTTTATCATGCAGGTCCATGGGGTAAGAGCACCGCAATCAAAAAACCCCTGTCCCTTTTTTGTTTATTATTATCCATACCATTTTACTGTTCTTATACACTTTCATGCATTTTCCTTTATGCGCTTTTGTTTCCTTGCTTCCTGGTCCCGTGCTTCCGCTTTCAGTTTCCTGAAAAAAATACAAATAAATTATATTAGTCGTACTTTTTGTTTGAGTCTTGGCTACCATCACTCGAAGTAACAATAGAGAGAAAAGTCAAACATTAATTTTAAGCAATTCATTGTGCAAAATTCTTTTTATTTTTTAGAACTAATAAAATATTCGAATATCTTTTATCATGCGGTCCATGGGTAAGAGCACCGCAATCAAAAAACCCCCTGTCCCTTTTTTGTTTATTATTATCCATACCATTTTACTGTTCTTATACACTTTCATGCATTTTCCTTATGCGCTTTTGTTTCCTTGCTTCCTGGTCCCGTGCTTCGCTTTCAGTTTCCTGAAAAAAATACAAATAAATTATATTAGTCGTACTTTTTGTTTGAGTCTTGGCTACCATCACTCTTTTGAGTTCATCCTGTTTTTCGCGAAGCAATTTCTGTTGTTTTGCAAAACGCAACTGACGATGTCGCATTCGGTTATATTCAAGCCTGGCTGCTCGTTTTCCTGGTGTTTCCGCTTTACGCATCTTCCTGTTTCTTAGTCTGGTCTTCTCTCGTTCGGCGGCTCGTTCTTCCTCAGTCATTTTCAAACGGCGTCTTCTTGTGCTTTGTCCGCCGGGAGTAAGACGGCCAAATTTTGACCTGGACCTGCGAGGCATTATTTCGGTTGTCACTGAAACATAAAAAATGAACTTTTTTTCAAAGCAATCGTACTGCTTTAGCTGCATAGAGACGAAATATCGAAGCGCGTAAGCGACGCGTCGCCGTCTCACGGATAAACATTGGTACGGAACCCACAGGAATGCAAACATTTATACTTATTGTTAAAATCTCTATAAAATATCTGATAATTTGATGTGCCTATGTCTAATGATCATTTTTGACCGCCAAATGACATTTTTTTTACTTTTTTTACTAGATCTCCAAAACCGAAGCAAATTGCCGGAACTTCCCGTACTGTAATTAAATATTCGAGAAATTATCTATCTACATATATATAAAAATAAGTCGGAATTTCCTTCCTGACGATTTAACTCCAGAACGCACGAACCGATTTCGCAGTTTTGAAGGTCTTGGGCTCCGCAAGGCTTATTAGCTAAGAAACTTAGTGGTGCCTTAATGCAAATTGCTGGAACTTCACGTACCGTAATTAAAAATTCGAGTAATAACATTAGTGAGAATCATCAGAATTATGCTTGGTTAAGTCAACGAGCAATCCTTGCCGCAAATAATAATTATGTACGAGCACTGAATTTCACCATTCAATCAAACATTGCTGGCGATTTGGTGACATACCAATGATTCCGACTGGTCTTTCATTTGACTTCAAACGATTGCAATTTCCAGTTCGCCTTGCGTTCGAAATAACAAGTCGCAAGACCAATCGCTTAGTGTTTGCGGAATAAATTTCAAATAGATTATTTAGAAAACCATTGTTTTTCACATGGGCAGTTATACGTTTCCTGTTCACGAGTTGGGAAACCATCCGCTTTCTTTGTGTTAACGTCAGACCAAAAAACAAAAAATGTGGTTTACCAAAGAGCACCTCAATGAAACGGATAATTTGCGGATTCACTTTCATTTACTTAGAGAAGTTCAACTAAAAAACACTTCATTTTTGTAATCGAAATAAAATCATTACTGTTGTATAATGAAATCAAATTTTTCCTTTACAAATATAAAGCAAACAAAAAATTTCTTTTATCTTCATCTTTCTCACAAAACCATCTGGTGGCGAAACGGAGTTCGTCGGGTTTGCTGGTTTATTATAAATACAAGTGCTTTTTAAATTAGGCGACGAGCGTATTCTACAAACAACTTTATAGCATTATAAAAAACAAGTTTATAAGAAATGTCTACATTTTTTTAAATTTGATTTTTTTTGATAATTTAGATTTTTTTTCGAAATTTTGAAATTTTTTAAAAATTGTTTTTTTTTTGTAATTTTTATAAAAAAAACGTTTTTTTTTTAATTTTTTGAGAATTAGGAAATTTTTGAAAATATTCGATTTTTTTGAAAATTTCGAAACATTCTCAATATTTTGTAAGAAATTGTTTTTTTCAAATTCTGGTATTTTTTGAAAATGTTTAAAATTTAGTTTTTTTTGAAAATGAAGAATTTCGAAAATTTGAATTTTTTTGAAAATCTGGAATTTTTTTTGAAAATTTTCAAAACAACAAAATTTCCTGTAAAATCATATTTTGCACACCATCTACTCAAGCAAAATGTTTTTCGAATTAATTTAACCGGATGATCCGTTCTCTCAAAAACTGCATAACCGTTTATATAACCAATCGGTCATATAAATCGGTTATTCCATACTGTCGAAAATGACGAAATAATTTTTTTGAGCCATATACGTGAATTTTAAAATTAAAAATCTTGGTACGGAACCCAAAAAATTGACACAAAACATGTACACATTATTAACATCTCTATAAAATATCTGATAATTTTATGTGCATATGTCTAGTCTAATGATCATTTTTGACCGCCAAATGGCATTTTTTTACTTTTTTTTACTAGATCTCCGAAACCGCTAGAACTGCCTTCATGAAAATTTGATCAGTTCTTCATCTTGTTAATACAAGTAAAATGTTTTTTGAATTATTCAAATCGGACGCTTTGTTCTCTCAAAAACTAAATCACCATTTTTTGTTCTTTTTGCCCCGTATCTTCGAAACGGCTAGACCTGCCTATGCCTAAAAATAATCAGCACTTCTCTCTATCAATACAAATCGAATGTTTTTTAAATTATTCAGATCGGTTGTTCCGTATTCTCGAAATCGTCGACGAAAAATTGTATCCGCACATGCATACGTACACACACGCATTACACACACACATACATACATCCATTTTTTTCTAAGGTATTCCAAAATATTCAGAAACCTTTGAAACGTAAAAATATATAAAAATCTTCTTGCGATTACTATAACCTTCCCTAAGGGAAATTAAAAATTGCCAAAAAATGTGTTTTTCTTAGTACCCGCGACTTTTCAGCCGATGTGTTAATATACTTATAAACCTCTTACCTTTAACTGGAAGATCTTTTAAAAGTCTAAATAGAATCATATTACAGAATATTTAAGAGCTCTTAATTTTTCACATGGGCTCATCTATAAAATGAACATCATTCAAATAATCAGTGATGAATTGATCATTATAGGTACGTTATAAGGATGAGTAGTCTTTTACAGAATGATTTACAAAAGTGATGACCTTGTCTATTGCTGATCTGGTAGGTCTTTTCATACATTTTATGAGAATTCTTTCTCTTAAAATACAACAAAACAACATCTCATATCTCAACAATAATTCAAATACTAATAATACTTGCAAAACTCCTGAAACAAAAATTGAATGTCTCAAAAAACAGTAATATGACGTATTATATGATTAATCTAAATAGGTGAATTAGACTTAGCAAATGCCCTAAAACAAAAATTGAACATCTTGCAAAACAACCAATAAAATCTTTAAGAAGATCAACTTACTATAATGAAGACACTTATTTGCAAATTACTCAACAAACATTTCCTTACTAAGTGTTGACATTGACATTGCTGATAACAAAATAATCCATGTTTACACTGATTGTGAAAATAGCTGGAAAGTAACACCTAAAATCATTAAAGAGTTTATTAAACTTATAAAAAACAAACAAGTACTGGTATAGATACCAGAAAAGGTAGGATATTGTTATGTGGTTTTATTATACTATCTGGTTTATTATCAACATCACTATTAGGCTAATGGAAAGCATCAAGGATGTCCGAAGAGGACAGAATGTTTCCAAGATGCTGGTTACATTCTTTTTCTTGCAACTTAAGCATCTATATACAAAAATAGTATGTAACTATACAAATAGCTCTCCTCCATTTTTAGACAAGTGTAATTCATGTTAACAATCTATAATTTTTCTATTGACTTCTAGAGTTTTCTTTAAATCCTCGATTAACACACCCACTTAAGGCAAATACAGAAATCTTATAGAATTTAATTTTATAAAAAAAAGCTGATTGTAATAATTTAAATGCTGCATATATAAATAAATCCATCTGTAACATTGGCCGGGGAACTTTTTTTAATCATCAACCCAAAATATTTTTGTCTAAGTTGATATATATTTTTTTTGTTGCAATTATTTATGAAACTTTATTAAATATTCCAACAATACAAAATTTGATAAGATTTGTTAATAAATTTTGGATGGATTGAACAATATTTTTTTTTATTACGTTTTAGGCAAAGTTATAATTTTAAATGTTAATATTTTATACTGTGAAATTCAATTTATGTTTATTCATAACTGTAACTGTGCAATTGCTTATTAAAACTCTTGTAACCTTTGAACCATTCCATGAATGTTAATGAAGTAAAAGACTAAATTGTTTAAAATTACATTATCTGCAATATTGTCTAGTATCATAAATTCCTAGAGCAACTCAGTATACTTTAAAATCGCATTTGAAAATCGTGTAATCTTCTTCACGTGCTCAATTGTCCATTGACTTGATCTTATAGTATAATTATTCATTTAGGCTCTTGTAACTTTTGAACTATATGATTTTTTAAATGAATGATGTAAAAGATTGTCTTATATCATAAAGCTATAGAACAACTCGGTGTATTACCCTATATTACCCTCATGGAAAGATTACCCCCATACTAGGTAGGAAATACTGTAAATATCATTTAACAATACATACTTTTTACCACAAAAAATACCATTTTTATCCCATTTTACCAGAATTTTTTTTATCCTAGTTCCCTGACTACTGATCTATGCCATCAGAAGGATTAGATCCATAATAAACCAGGAACGTACCAGCAAAGCCTACTTTGCTATGTTCCATTCTGTACTTTCTTATGGAATATTATTAGCTAGGGGACACAGTGCAGACACGTCAAAAGTTATAGATCTACAAAAGAAGACTGTTAGAGCGATAGAAGGAGCCTCACCTCAAGAGCCTTGCAGGCCGCTATTCATCAAACATAAAATCCTGACTGCTACAAACATTTATATTTGGCAACTAGCTATCTGCGGAGCATGCTGATAAAACACAGCATATATTGAGAAGTGATGTCCATGACCACATAAATGCTGTGATATGTCGAAGAATGAAACTTAAATCATCGGTAAGAACTACATTAGCTGCCAAAATCTATTACAAGCTACCCGATGGATAGAAGAGCAAAACTTTCAAAAATATTGTTGAAAATCATTTGATAATTAATCCTCATTATTTTATAAATGAATTTTCAGATAAAATTATGAATTATAAATGACGTAAATTGTATATATTGAATTTCAATGAATGTCTATTCTAAAAATAATAAAATTATTACCAGAATATCAATATAAGGAACTTGTTGCACACTGCAATAATCACATTAAGCACTAAATATAAATTATAAAAACTTTAATTTACCTTATCTTAATTATTTTATTTTAATATTACTCATTCAAATTAAAAATACCAAAAAACAAATTTTGACACATAGCGACATTTTTACATTGTCTTGAAGTTGGCTTCAGCTTTAACGCGCAATATTTAAATCGCAAATATCAACTTAAACAATAAACTTAAATATGTTTTTGAAACATCATTATAACAAACAAATAATGTATTATAATAAACAAATTATAATACACACTTATATAATTC